TCCCCCTGTCCTTTCCCTGACAGAACATCTTAAATGTTATGCTGTCATATTTTGCATTTTCTATTAAAATGCTGACATTTCCTTCTGGAGATGAATGTGAAGTTCCTTATTTTTTATAGTTGCAAAACTAAAATGAAATAGTTGTTCTCCAGCTAACAACAAAACCTCATATAAACCTATCTGGACAGGAATAGAAATACTCAGGACTGGGGAGCAGCTCTGTTTGAGCACACATATTGCCCTACCTCATGTCTGCCCAAAAAGACACCCACCAAAAATCCATGAGCCCACTGATATATCTGAATCCAGAGGAATGTGAATATTGATACATTTCTTATGTACCCTTTATATCTGCATTCTGTGTTCATAACAGAATCACAAAAGCCTCACAAAGCTTTCATGCCTTAATATTTTAGCACTATTAAATTTTTCTCTATTAGCCAAATATAATTTTTATTTTTATTTTCATTCAAAGCTACGTAAAAATATTTTACCAGTCGACCAAACCACAAGTATTGGAAGTTCTTATAACTTTAAGTGCTTTAGTATGATTCATGATAATCTTCGTGGAGAAAAAGAGATTAAGCTTTTTAAAAGCACCAAAAATGTGGTATTAGCATGTTTAAAACAGCAAGAATTAGCAGAACTTTTGGTAGAGCAGAAGAAAATACCCATGTAAAGATAAAATGGAGAAAAAAGGTTTAACTACTTGAATAAATGTTATGTTTCCCTCTACCTTCTGTCAAAGATGCATTTTATTATTTTCTGTAACTTTACTGAACCTGGTCTGGTTCTCCAGATTCAGTAAGGCCCAATACTGAACCCTTAATGAAATGAAAAGCAGCTGTCAAATCACTGGTTCAGAAAGTAGACTTTATGTTATTTTTAATCTCTAGTGGTATAAAAAAGTGCATTATTTTCTTAAACTGAAGTTTCTCACTGCAAGATTTCCACTGCCCCACAGAGTAAAACAACTTACAGAGGGTATGTGACACAGATTGGACAACAGATTCTGATTACAAACACAAAATGTAATCTGGCATTAACAGATGCACAAAACTGATGTGGCCCACTCAATTCATGAAAAATTACTTTTTAGTTGACAAAATCCCCCCCAAACCTGTGGTGCATTTACATGACAAGCAGCAGCTACACATAAACTTGTCTGCATGCTCTGCTGCAACACCATTTCCCACATCCTAAGTTAGCCTTCATGCTGATCTCTCATGTATGATTTAATTTTAAAAATAAGGAAATCATTCATTGCTGTCAGAGCAAGCTCACAAATTTCAGAAACACAGCTTGACTTTGTCATTATGCACACCCTGTTGTGTCCTTAAACAAATATGAGAGAGAACACCAAGTGGGAAGAAATGAAGAGCAGAAAAATGATACCCATTATTGGTGTTGGGGGAAAAAAAAATCATCATGCAAGGAAATACAATTCCTTTATAAAAAATACTTAACCATTACTATTAAAAAATAACTATTCAGTTACTTAGTGTGATTTTCACATCAGATTACTAAGAACACAAAAAAGAAAAGCTCAATTCTCACATATAGTTACAGATTAGAACTGTTACAGTAGCAGAACACTTATATTAATGCATCTCCAAATAGCAACAGAAGCAAAGGAGAACAGTAAGATTATAGAATGACTAGTGTTAGAAAAAGGAAGAAAAAAATTATTAGCTACTTGACCAAAGATATGATTAAAAGACAAGAGTACTGTATTGTATCCTCAGTTTATCTTAACCTGCCAGTCCACCTCTTTCCCATTTTTAATTTGTATAAAACTCTACTGCATATTCAGCACCATAAAGCACTGCATTAAAAAATACCACAAAACCAACCAATTTATGAGGACATCAGCACCATAAAGCACTGCATTAAAAAAAAACATAAAACCAACCAATTTATGAGGACACGCTGTACATTATCACTGTATTTGAGACAATCATTTCAGGCAATTGTCTCCTACAGTTGTCTCCCTTTACAAGCAACAAATGCAGAATTTTTCAAGTGAATAAAACTTTCAACCTTTAGCTTTATAGTTTTAGCTAGAGAAAGGAAGCAAAAGCATACTGACAGCAAAAAAAACCACCTGCACACAGATGCAGCTGTGTAAGAACATTCCAGAAAAGCATTACATACATTTTGTGTCTTTCTGCACTCATCCTTTCAATGAGCAGCCTATGGAGTTTACAATTACCCTACCAAAATACATGAGCAATAACACAGCCACCTTTGTATGGTTATAGAAAATATTTTCCTGCCCAGGTAATTCATCTAAGTCTGCAGTTTGAATAAAAAGTAAAAGATTTATTTGTATGGTACAAGCAGACAAGTGAAAAAATGTTAGAGGCTGGTACTTGTAACCACTAACAATAATTTGTAGTTCCACAAACTAAAGCTTTTCAAGGTTTCACCCAGCAGAGCTCCAAGCAGGATGGTGCATGAGAAGCTTGCAGCCCTGATATAGAGTATCAAATGATCCTGGACAGGGAAACCTCTACAAAAGCAATGCCAGCAGTGAGATCTTACAGAAAATTCACCCATTCTTATGTTCAAATAACCTTTCTCCAAGAATCAAAAGACTTTCTCCTTATAGAATCAGTTTGGTTAGCAGAGCAGGTTATTACTTGGCCATCCTTGTATTCTTTCTTAAGGCAATGCAGTTTATTGAGTGAAGTTTCTTGAGTCCACCTCCTCCTTACAAAGAAAAAACATTGTTCCCACAAGAATTTTCATACTCCATACAGATTCTCTAAATAAAGAAATGAAATCTGGCATACAGTGAATTCCTTTTTGCTCTCATGCTTCAACATTTCCAAGCACTTACACTCACATACTAACAGATTCCACACTGGCCAGTAACATACAGAGAAGGAAATGAAAAAGCAAATTCACACAAGAAAGCAAAGAGGAATCTTCATCTGCATCGAACAGAGAAGGAAAAAGCAAATTCACACAAGAAAGCAGACAAAGAGGAATCTTCATCTGCATCAAGGCAACATAATGTTCCTTTCTGGCCAGTGTTGGAACAGCATCTACAGTGTCCAGCTATCAATCTTACTTCCACAGCATTGTCCTCTTTATCTCTGTATTGCAGCAACCTATAAAAATCCTAAGACTACTAAATATTTAGAAGATCGAAAAAGCAAATTCACACAAGAAAGCAGACAAAGAGGAATCTTCATCTGCATCAAGGCAACATAATGTTCCTTTCTGGCCAGTGTTGGAACAGCATCTACAGTGTCCAGCTATCAATCTTACTTCCACAGCATTGTCCTCTTTATCTCTGTATTGCAGCAACCTATAAAAATCCTAAGACTACTAAATATTTAGAAGATCTAATTAAGTGAAATACACATGGCTGTATAATTATGACATTAAAAGGTACATTAGCACACAAATGGAAAACATGGAACATTCACTATTTCATTTCTTACAAGAGCTGATTTTCAAAATCCTTTACTTCACCTTAGAAGTGCTGATTTACAACACGACTTCAGCTCAACTGCCTAAGTTGCTTTTAAAACCAAATCTTGGGCTCCAGAATGAGAAATGTGATTTGGGGAACATTAATCTTGGTGCACACATTAGGCAGCTGATCAGAAGTTGCCCTGAAAGAACTATAATTACATTTCTAGTGAAGTCACTACACTGTCAGAAATCACCAACCATAACGTGCTATTTTTACACCACTGGTTTAAGCCAATGGCTAAACCTTCCTTGAAACTAGTGACCTCAACACTAAATTAAGGTGATGCTTCAAATAATGTACATTACAGCAGTAGGTAAAAAAACTGCACATTTCCAGTTCAATGAAATATGAAATATAAAACAAACAAAACTAAAATAGGTAAACCAATTTATTTTCACCTTTCTCTGGAAACCAGATACATATGGATCCACACTGAATATGTGAGCTCTCTCCCTAAAGACCCTTGTATATAGTTGAATGGCCACAGTTTGTAAACAAACAAACCAAAACAAAATCCACCAAAAATAAAAAAGTTACTTTGAATGTAAGTTTCAAATTTAAGATCAGTAATGAAAACAGACAGGAATTTTTCAATCCCAGCAGTGGGAACTAGCAGGAAGAAAACCTGTATTTTGAAGTGCCTTTTGATGGTCTGCAACACAAGGAAACTGAATAGCAAAAGTCCACAAAAAAAAAAGAAAAGGTTACAAGAGATGTTTCCTGCCACATTTTTGGTAGGGAACAGTTGTTCAGTCACTATGAAGGTCAGCCTGGCACTGGGACTTGTAACACAGATTTCTTTATTAGGATTAATGGCAGGTAGTAAGCTCAAGTGTGTAACAGTCATCAGCCAACACATGAAGAACAGCAACAGGCCAACACCCAAAATCCAAGTCCAGGAGATGGCTCATTTACACACTGCATTTCCTGCTGTTCACCATCATTAGTATGTACTTACAAAATCAGTTATTTTATTGTTATACTAAAAATGGCAATGAATAGTAACACCCTTTCAAGCTCTCCTTATATCTGCAGATTTCCCAGAGCAAGTGTCTCACCTCATTATCATCTTTCCTGCATAGTCAGGACAGTCAGCTGAATTTGCAGACTAAAGCTATTTTACTCATCAGAATGATCTAGCTAGGTGACTAATACAGTATTTCTCCATTACTCTCACCTAAGCAGCAACAATAGAACTGCTGAGGAATAGAGCACTTCTATAGATTTGCAAACCAACTATATAACAAACTTAATGCTGCACCTAAAGCTGTTCAACTGTACTTAGAGAAGCTTGACTTGAAAGAGCTTGAACAAGAGGGATCAGGAATTGTATCCAAGTAATCAGGACTGCCATTCCATCCCTCACATTGTCAAAGACATGCTTCATGTTGGAAGCAAGATAGAAGTTTTGGTTAAAAAAATTATGTAAAGAGTAACTTTTCAAACAAGATAAAACAATATATTTTTTTCCTGAAAATAACTATATCTGGAAGAGAATATTCATGCACCTTACCATCCATTCAGATATGATTACATCCACTTTTTCCAAAGGCAGATCTACCTCTTCGATTCTTCCTTTGACTAATGTAATAATATTTTCAAGTTTATTTAATCTGCAAGTCAAAACATAAACAAATGAGTTTCTATTTCCAACTTATGCTGTCAAGAGAGATATACTGACATCTCTAGTTCACATTTCTCCCCTCACTAACTTTTTAACTAATCAAGAAAGCACTAGAACGTAATATTCCCCAGTTATATTTCACAGGGAATGTTTCCAAGTAGCTAAAAATTGCAGCAGATTAAGAGGGCAGACAGCAGATCTGTATACCTCCAATCTGCCCTGCATGCAAATGTGTAAGCTTCAGAAACCAGGAAAACAGAGCAGAGGACAATTTAAAATGATGGTACTCTCTATTTAAGAATTGGTTGTTCCCTTTTCTCCTCCTTTGACCTCTGCAGCACAAGTCTACAGTGATCAGAGCCTACTCACCACACTAGGATAGCAATGGAAATTAACTTCCTTACAAAGCCGTTTTGCACCACTTGGTTTTTTATTTAACCAAACTGGCTGCAAAGTCACAGAGAACAAACATTCCCTCTAGATCAGTATTACAGTTACTCCACAATAAAGGCATCCTCCCCACTGTGATATTGGGCAAAAGCAGCTGCAATGTTCAGTACCTGCAGAGATCAGGTATTACCTCACATGCAGGTAACAGTGCAACCATCCTGCATAAGGAGGAAGGTACTGTGATGGGACTACAGTTTTTGGAACAAGAACTTCAAGACAGTGAATTATTAATATGTAAATGCTTGAAATTTACTCTTTTTCTTCTTGCCAAACCATATTTTTCTTTCTTGCACATACCACTATTACAATGGCTATTCTTACACAGGGCAGAAAAGTATTCTCACTGCAGAAATTTATCTTCCCACTGCAGTTCTTATCTGTCCCTTCCCTCCCTAACCTGGTATCTTACTCTTACATTCTGCCTGGCTTTCAATGCAGATCAGTAATCACATTAAAAATTCAGTCTAGAAGACAATGGGAGTATGATCTGAATGAAGGGAGGGAAAGGAGAGGGTCAAAGGGCTACTTGAACATGTGGCCCTTTGCAAAGATCAATTAAATACTCTACACTAGAGTCATCTGTTATTAGTGATGAACTGCTATTCTTCTATCATATTTAATGCTGTAAACAATAGTAGAACCAGAAGTTCAAAGTGAGAAATAAAAATGTTGAAAGAGCTGCTACACACACCAATAATTTAAGAAGGACAAAAAGAGATATAAGGATAAATTCCTGAATGACCACATAGATGGACACGATTCAAAACAAAAGAGGAAAAAGACTAATTCATTACATACTTGCTTTCAATTATAAGAGTCAAAAAACCCCAAACCAACTAATGTAGTTTACACACTGTAGAAAAAAATGCTGAGATGCTATTTAGGAAATTATACTTAACTTTCTATTCTAGCTTAACAGTGATGAACGACAAAAATCAGTCATTCACTGCACTAGAAATTTTACATGCAGCTACTCACAGGAAAAGAAAAGGCAATCATTTAGTTAAAAGTAAGTTTATTTCCAAGGCTACTTATTCCAGTTTACTTACACACATGGGTTGCAGTGTTTCCAGCAATTAACAAGCTAGAAATTAACCTGAATTCTGGGAGGGACAAAAGCTCTTGATACCTGAATCATTGAATTTAGGGGTTGGAATGGACCTTACAGATCATCTATTCCCAACCTCCTGCCCTGGGCAGGGACACCTCCCCACTACATCAGGTTGCTCAAGGCTCATCCAACCTTGAACACCCCCAGGGTCGGGGCAGGCACCACATCCCTGAGCAACCTGTGCCAGTGTCTCACCACGCTTAGTGTAAAAAACATTTTTCTAATATCTAACCTAAATGTCACCTCCTTCAGTTTGAACCCGTTACCCCTTGTCCTATCACTGCAGTTCCTAACAAAGAGTCCCTCTCTGGCTCCCTTGGAGGCTCTTCAGATGTTGAAAAGTTGCTATGAGGTCTCCACACAGTCTTCTCTTCTCCAGAGAATCACAGGTGGGAACACACTGCGTTAGGCATTTTTAAGCTACACAGAATTGTTTAGCATTCCAATAAATATTTGTTACTCCACTGCAAACTTGTCAGCTTTATTCCTTTAGGAAAAGTAGGTTTAACCAGACAAATATAAATTGTTTTGATGTGAACTGGAGACTGAAATGTGAGTTGAACCTTTTATAGCAGAAGGTATCTATAAATGTGCAGCCTTACTGATGCCTCGCTGCGTACTTCAACTGGCAATTCATCACTCTTAAGAGTTTAAGAGTTTTGATTCATTGTTTTTCTTAAAGGCCTGCCCTCCTCCTCACCAAAGGTAATACATGGTGACTGTTACTTCTGTTCTCCCCTAAGCATAAATAACACTCAAAGCACTTTGTGCACTTGTTGAAAGATATGAACCACCCTATATTTGTAGTTTAGTACACGAGAAATAAAACACTCTATCACATTTGTTACCATTCTGAAGATATCAGGACTCCTGGGAAAAAGCCTCTTTAAGGAATGAGTTCTTGTGCCAAAAAAGCATTTTAGTCAAAGATGTACCTAATGCTTAACATAGTATTATTCCCCAACAGAGTAATTTTATGGCATCCAAGTGTGCAGTGTTGCACCACCAATGTGTGAAGTGGTACCTAACTTACAAATTCTGCCCAGACAGCCTTATTTCTGTGCAACTTAAGTTTGCATAAAAACTGTCACTCCCAAATTCCTCAGTATCTACCTAGACTTTCTTTTTCACAGTTGCTTTTACAAAAACAACCTAAGTGAAAAAACCTACATGCCTTAGCTACCAGCTAGGAAATCCTTTTCAAGTCTTCAGATGTCATTGCTTCATTTTTATACATGCTCAGTCTCCCTTAATATCCACAGTGGTAAATTAGTGAAATATGGAAGGGACAAATGTACTAAGAGATGGGAGGAAAGCTGTCTAGAACCATGAGGTTCAAGAGGGGAGAGGGGGAGTGCAAATCCTAACTTGTAAAAAGGTACCAGAGGTGTCCCTCATGGTTCAATGCTAGTTCTGATATTAATTAACATCTTTAGTGACCTAATGGGACAGAATACACCCTCAGCAACTCTGTGGAAAATGGTGAATTAGGGGGGAGCAGTTGATAGGAGAGGGCTGTTATTGTCTATAATAGACAATTAAGTGACGAAATTATTTACAATTCCTATATAGAAACAGAAAATTAAACAACTACATATATATACACACTGTTATTGTCTATAATAGACAATTAAGTTACGAAATAATTTAAAATTCCTATATAGAAACAGAAAATTTAACAACTACATATATATATACATGCACTTGAACAACTTTCACCAATCTTACTAAATCAGAACTTTCCTTAACTCCAAGTAGTGCAGTCAGGAAAAGTTTCTCACAGCCTCTGGGTCTCTAATGTTGTCTAAAAACTTACAATTTTATCAGTAGCAACATTTAAAATGTGAGAATGGAAAATGGACAGGCAGTATATAGTTGGAGCCTTTGCATCAAGGAAGACCTGGCCCAGTGCTAACATCAGGAGGAAGGTCTGCTTTAATACGCTTACCAGAGAGGCAAACAACTTCATAAAACATAAAAAAAAATTTAGAATCATCAAAGTTGAAAGAGACCTTCAAGATCATCCAGTCCAACCATCCACCAAGCCCTACCACTGTAGCCCCTAAACCATATCACCCAGCACCAGATCCAGACACCTCTTAAACACCTCCAGGGATAAACCATGGGAAGAAGGGCTTCCATAAGACAGACTGAGTGACAGGTGATCATTAACTAGCAACAGCATTTTAAGAACTTTTTACAGTAAATATTTACCATACAGTTCTTGGAACTTTTCCTACCTAATGATGTCCATGGCCTGATAGATGATTTCAGATTGGTCAACTCCAATCACTTTCTTTGCACCTGCTTTGGCAGCAAACATGGAGAGTATTCCAGTTCCACAACCAACATCCAAAACCACCTGAAATGAATAAATGGAAGTAAAAATAAACACCTTACTTTCCTGTCTATGATTTTTCTACACTTCTTTCTACATCAGTGAGATAGCACATTCCAACAGAAGGAACAAACAGCAGCATCAATTCTTACTGTTATGTGCAGATATCCAAGTCAAACTGCCACTCTAACTCCACATCCTCTTACCACCTTTTCTAGATAGATAATGAAGCAGACCAGCTCCAGCTGCAGGTTACCTCAGTCACATGGGAAACAACTACAAGCAATTATTTGGGCAACAATTAAAATGTAGCATGAAGAAGGGAAAAAAGGAAATTATAGCCTGAGCAATTTTAATCACCGAATCACTAATAATTGAACTTAGCACTGGCACTGGAAAAACATATTCTAACTGCAGTTTCTCATTAAGAATCTGTTTAGAAACTTTATTTAGGAATTCTCTGCCAGAAATAGCCACCATGCCTCAAAACATCTATGGCTCAGGATGACTACATTTCAAAACAGTAACTGGCAGTTTTAACACCTGGAAATATTTTCTGTCTAAACACTATTTATAATCCAAATAGGATCAAACAAATCCAGTAAGCTGGGATCCCTAAGTTTTCATGAAAGAAGAATAAACTTCATCACTACACCTGAACTAAGTACACTCAGCACAGCAACAAGATTCATGAAAACGTTTGGGGTTTGGTATATCACATATTAGCTACTGGAGGAACACTGGAAATTTAAACTAAGAAAAGAGCACCAAATTTATTACTAGAGTTGAGCTGTCAGCAGTGTGAAACTCAAGAGATTTTACCAAGTAGCCTTGTTCAGGCCTTACTATCATAATAATATATTTCTTCTAACTGCTGCAAATACCTCAACAGCTTAAAAACTAATGAATGTGCTATGGTAAATTTTTAAGCTGAGTTTCAAGGATGATGTTTTCACAGAATTACTGAGGCTGAAAGGCACCTTTGCAGATGCTGAGAGTGCAGTTTATTGCATTGGCCAGGTCATCAGTGGTCTTACTGTCAGACTTCTACTTAATATAGCTAAGCTTTACTAATAGTGTTAAAAAACTCTTAGTACTAAACCCCAAAAAAGTTATTAAGTCTGAAAATCGAAACAAGTTTCTAAACACCAGGTATGGCCACTCCTATCTTGCACAGCATTTAAGCATTAATCAGTGAATCAGAACTGTAAAGACAAAACTTCCTTTCCCACACATGAGAGCTAAACATGAGTAAGTTCAACTTGCCAAAACACTTCTAAGTTAACTAGAACACTGAGTCAGAATGATCAGTCATAGCATCTCACTCACAGCATCCAGGGCTGTAAAATCTGTCCTCACAGCTTTCAGGACATTCAATTTTTTTCCAAAGAAGGCATCAAATTCCTCAGTAAACAAACCCATATTTGAGAATTACAATTCCTTTGCACAAAATATTTCAAGGCAATAATGCACCCTACGGATACACTTCCCAGCTTATGAGCTACTGAAGGTTCTTACTTTGGCACAACAAAAACTTATGTGCACTTTTACATTTCACCTGACAAACAGTATCAAAGTAAATTCTTGAACACTCTGCACCTTAGGTCTGCTTGCCTTCCCTTGCATACAGTTCTACATATTCTGATGATGGATACAGAACAATGATCCTGAAGCCAGCATGGATAAAAGAGCAGTTTATCCTTAGCAGCACAGTGTAAATGAGCTTCTGCTGTGCTATTTTGGGAAGAAATGACTGCAGAATTGACTGCCACCTGTCTTGGTAGAGCAACTTACAGCCTGGAATCAGATTAAAACACATTAGTATGATGAATTTTTTTACAGTATCTGGGGTAGGGCTGGTCACAGAAGTTGTGCATAGAGTTTCTTGTTCCATCTGCAACTCTTTGCAGCTATATTTCAAAACGAGTCAACTCTACAATTCACTCACAAGTTACATATGAGTATGTTATGGCTACAAAAATCCCTAGGCTGAATGTGCTGGAGACAGGAATAGAAAATAAAAATCAATATTCTTGCAGCTGCTGAGATCTCACACCTCACATCATCACCTATTCTAACACTTACCCATGGTAGTTAACAAAATTGCTGAGGCATGAAAGCTGGAAGTCAGAGCCAAAAATAAACCACTGTGAAAGAATGATCTTGACGTACAGTTGCATCAAAGAGAGCAATCACTACAAATTGGAAAAAAATCAAAACAGACACCACTTTGGACAAGTGCCCTGGTCACTTAAAAACCCAGATGGAACTCATCTAGCCTTAGGCAGGGGATGGGGGTGGAGAAAAAGGCACAGGAGAGAAAATATACAAGCTGGAATACATCTGAGGAACGGAAAGACAAGCAGGATGATCACCAATTAGCCCAAGGACAAGGGTCTACAGCTCACATTCCTGTGGTGATCACATATGGCCTCTCACCGAAAACCTGGAGCAGCTGGACTGGTGATTTGACCATACAATAACACTGCTGCATCACATCCTTCTCTGCAGTCTAATCAAAACTGATATTCTACTTTAGTAACAGAGAAAATTACTTCAAACTCAGAAAAACAGGAGGTCAGGTAATTTGGCCAATTAAATTAATTCCTTTGGATTGGATGAACTCTTAGTAGCAACAACGTTTTCAACACTCATTTTATTCCCTCAATACAGCATTGATGCTTGCCTCAGACTTCTACTCCACAACAAAACCTAAGCATGGCAATAGTGCTTTTCTAAACTATTATTTTTCCACCCAAAAATACTCTCATAAAATGGACCACATTTCCTGAGTAAGGCCACCTTAACTACTCCTGCTAGGTACTCTAAATTCTCAAGTATATTTGATGGGCTGAAAATAAAGGCAGCAAGCAGGATCCATTCTAGTATTAATAATTTCTTTTGAAAGCCAAGAGAGGACAAACAAATTGGCTGGTTCTGAATGAAGTATGCATAATAAACAGCCTAGGTGTTCTGCTGTCATCTGTCACCATATAATCACATCTCTTCAGGACACTGCAGATTTGCATCAAAAGTATGACAAATTCAGCTCTTTGAACAAACTCCTCCCAATCTACCTCACAGTGTCCTTTCAGAAACAACAAAAAGCAGCACTATGTCTTTTCCAGGGCAGAATACAATATGGGAGTTCTAGGAAATACAGTACCCGACTTTTACTCATTTTTTAAAAAAACTGTAGTCAAACTTTAAGGGAAAACATTATGGGAGTTCTAGGAAATACAGTACCCCACTTTTACTCATTTTTTAAAAAAATTGTAGTCAAACTTTAAGGGAAAACAGCCTTTAAGTTGGAACTTTCACTCATTAATATGGTTCTGAGATTATTATATGCTACACTAAATAAAGCAAAGTATCTCAGCAGCTCCTTCAGCAGAAATCTGTAATCCATGTCACCTCAAAGCTGGATCACTGAAAAAAAATCCCACATTCTCCACAACAGTGTACCAAGACACAGAAGTTGAGTGGGGCACATCACATGGATGGGACTATTAGGAACTCAAAGCAACCGAGAATCTGTCTTTCAATTCAACCTCAACACTCCATGAAGGATTTGGATACACTATGAATATGAGGTAGTCTTGAAGAAAAAAACTGCTGTAGAAACTGTGCTCAGAAATCAGTTTGTACATGTTGTGATAATGGAGTAGCTTCAGAAAAGTTGATGCTTTCACACAACAGAGCAGGCACACACATTCTCTAGCTGTTTCCTGCTGGGGCTGAAGCAATGTTGACTAACAGTTAATCTATGTCTTGTTTTGCATGTTCCTGGTGTGTCCAAGCAGTAGAGGAGAAATACAACCAATTACCAAAAAATACTGTTCCACAAGGACACACATTTCACGTAACTTCAGATCACTCTTACCCCGTGAAAACCTGCAGTTATCAATTTTAGAGGCACCTGTGAAACTAAATTTCTCCCAGAAAAGTTTTCTTTCCTTTATTGATCTTTCTGCTTTGTTAGATGAGCTGCCCACCTATGCAGTCACCTGCATCATTTAAGTAGTTGGCAGCAAAATTCTACAACTTTTTTTTGCTTGTTCTCTCACAATAATTAAAGAGTTTAGAAATGTTAGTTAGAAACAGGCTTGTGACATGAATTGAGGCCAAAAAAAAAGAAAGAAAATGATCTCCTAGTTCTTTTCTGCTGTACTTCCAATTGAAAACTGAGGTTAAGACATACAAAGACTAGGCAGCATCAACCTTAAAATACCTCCTGCCCAGACAAAACTCTATCTAAGCATAATTTCCAACAGGGAGTTAACAGATGGGTGCACTTTTATTGCTTTCACAACTATTCCCAAGCCTTGGATTATCACTTATTAACAAAGTCCCAATCAAAACCAAAATAAAAAAATCAGCAGCAATTGCCTTCCATAAACCAGACATCCTGGTTTCACGTTAAGAAATATTCATACCCAGGTTCAGAATGGTAAGCACTAAGTAGAGGAAAACTAATCCAGAAGAGCAGACTGCAGAGTCACTGGGGGATGAGCAGATGGAGCACGTTAAGAAATATTCATACCCAGGTTAAGAATGGTAAGCACTAAATAGAGGAAAATTAATCCAGAAGAGCAGACTGCAGAGCCACTGGGGGATGAGCAGATGGAAAAGGACTTGGGGTGCTGCTGGGTGAGAGGCTTGACATGACCCACCGTGTCTACTTGCAGCCCAGAAAGCCAAATGTGTCCTGGGCTCAATCAAAAGCAGTTGGGCAGCAGGTCAAGAGAGATGATTCTGCCCCTCTCTTCTACTCTGGTGAGACCCATCTGTAGTGCTGCATCCAGCTCTGGGGTCCCCAGCACAGGAATCATAGAATCAACTTGGTTGGAGAAGACCTCAAAGACCATCGAGTCCAACCCTACCATGGTTACTAGACCATGGCACTAAGTGCCACATCCAGTCTCTTCCTGAAAACCTCCAGAGATGGACATGGACCTATTGGTGTGAGTCCAGAGGAGGTCACCAAGATGATTAGAGGGATGGAGGACCTCTCCTATGAGAAAAGGCTGAGAGAATTGGGTTTGTTCAGCCTGGAAAAGAGAAGGATTTGTTTAGGTTGACCCAATTGCTGCCTTCCAGTACCTGAAGGGAATCTACAGGGAAGATGGAGACAGACTTTTTTCAAGAGCTTGTAGTGACAGGACAATGGGGAATAGATTCAAACTGAAAGAGAGCAGGTTTAGACTAGATGTTAGGAAAAAAAAAATCTTTATTGTGAGGGTAACAAGGCAGTGGCACAGGTTGCCCAGAAATGTTGTGGCTGCCCCATCCCTGGAAGTGTTCAAGGCCAGGTCGGACAGGGCTTGGAGCAACCTGGGCTAGTGAAAGATGTCCCTGCCACCACTGGAACTAGATGATCTTTAAGGTTCATTCCAACCCAAAACATTCTATGATTCCATGAACTCAAACCAAAACAAACTAATCAGAAACAGACAGTAGAAACACAGAAGACAAGCAGAGGATCGTAACTGCGCACGGGTCAAAACCACCAGAAAATTATATCAGTGTAATCCCTTCCCACTGCAAGAGGAATACTAGTTCCCCAGTTTTAAGCCCTTTAATAATAATCTGGAGAGAATGAACAACAAGAATTCAAAAAAATCAGTTGCACATGAATTCTTTCCCAGCTCTAATTACACAGAGCTTCTCAGACATTTTTCCTGTATCAGGAATACATAGAAATTCACTTAAATTCTGGTAAAGAGGTCCTGAGAGAGATTCCATTCAATACACTGGACAAGAAAGGCTCAGCTTCACCCTGCCAACATAATTAATGAACATCCCGACATGGCACACAGCACAATGACAATAGTGATCACCACTGCTCTTATCAGCACTCTGCACCCTCCAGCAGCTGAGCAGCACTCCACCACCTAATAAAGCCACACTACATTAAATCAAATCTTGTCACTGTGATACTCCATTCCCACAGCTGCAAAGCAGCCAGCCTGAAGCTTTTCTACCATTTGAGAAAAAATAAACCACAGAAATGACTGTATTTTCTGAGCTGCTTTACCCACCTTGTCCTTGAAGATATGTGGGTTTTGATAGATGAAGTCACGATAGCTTTCTGTACGCACTTTATCCTGGGATTCAGAGAACAAAACATGTTTACTTTTTCTACTTAGATACAGCATATCATTCAAAAATGCTGAAAAACTTGCTTTTTTAACTTGGCCTAAAGGTGTTCTGTGTATACTGTACTACTTACAAGAGCTCTGCGGTCATGACACTGCCCACATGGTGTTATTTCAGAATTGAGTGTCCTGCCAGCTGCCACAGCTGGAGGGAAAATAGGAAACTACCTTACACTTTCCTAACCTGCTGCATTTGATTCTGAATGTTTCAAAATTCTTAATACCTCTTCATCACTTCCCAGGAATTAGTAGTGGCAATACTGCATCAACTTTACCTAACAACCTCCTATACATTGGTAAAAATTGGAGTCATAAGCTCATAAAATGTTTTGTATCATTTTATTCCCTAACATTCCAGTGACACGGAGATTTCTTTTTTTAAAAAAAATTATGCATCAAATTAATCTGTTCTGTTTCTGAACAAACTGCAAATTTGAAAACCTGATGACAAGCTAGGAATTAAAACTGTACAATCCTTTCTATCAAAGTCCAATATAAGAAAGAAACTTGACTGCAATACAACAGCACCTGAGAAACTGGAATGTTTTCAAGCACAGAACTAACCATTTTTAGTGTCTTAGTATACCATAGCTAGCAGTACAGCTCAGTTTACCAGCAAGGTAATCTATTAAAACATGGACTCTCTTAACATGCACCAGCAGGTACACAAATTGACAGTCAAGTATAGGATTTGGAATTGCTGTTGCAGTTCAAGTGTTAGAGCAGAGTGAAAAAAAATTTTCAGCAATTTTTTATCCAGTGCAGGCAAGGCTATAAATAATGCTGAAGTATCAAATCTAACTGCTTATATTAAAGCTAATATTTTTCCACTATGGCAAGTTAAGAATTTCTAGAAACAACAGAGAAACGAAAGAAATGTTCTCTAGTGAGAAAAACTAAGTCTATTCTGAAAGAAAAATAAGATCAAAACCAGTGACTGAGAACAAAGGATATGTTAATTCAAATTTGGGAGAAAATAATTATTTTGAGTCTTGAAAATCCTAAAATACAGTTTTAAATGTGTAAGTATTACCACACACAACCCAAAAGAAAGAGCTAGGACTGACTTTACAAAATTCTGCTTTAAAATTATATGTAATTAACATGAATAAAGGAAACTGTGATCCTTTAAAACTGCACTGGTTTACTATGATGTTACATTCAGAGCAGCTATTTTTAGTACTTCACCTCTACTGCAGGATATAACGGGATTTGCTGAAATGACCAAAAAAGTTAAAAAATAAATAATCAAAATGGCAATGTTCAGCATCAGTTGAGAAAGGAGTCAGCTGGAAAGCTTTCAGCCTTACATCATGCCCACTCACACTGCCTCAGCACTGCCCCAACTTCACCAACACAGCCCTGGCTGCTGCCTGCACTGTATCCACTGCTGCTTGACTCAGTCCCTTTGGGTGTCTCTGTTCATCAGTTCCATCCTCTCACTGTTTCAGTTTAAAGAAAAATGCTAAGAAAATTAAGATGACAGTCAAGAAATTCTAAAGCAAAACAGTGGAGCAAGGGAAACACGAGCATCTTGGCCAGTGTGAAGTAACAACAGTCTTCCTCCATCTCTGAAGAATTTACAGAAGAAAACCAGCAAATTGAAACTTCATCCTACCCCTACCAGGCATAAGGAAGGGAAAAAAAGAAGGTTTCAAGACTGGACAGTGTCACAAACAGACTTGCAATTCAGATTGCAAGACTCCTTTGTTAAAAATTTTTATGTAGCAACTCACTATGTTTATGTAAATAAGGTAGGCATGAAAATAAAACTCCAAGTGAATGCCTGGCATATAGGAAAGAATCCAATGTAAGCATGATAAACACCAATTGCTTTCTTATGTTACAGTAAGTCAAAAGTCTTCTTAAAAGCATTCTGACAAACACACCCTGAAACCAATAAAGTACAATTTTGCACCAAACTCTTTGTGCAGATGCAGACTTTTCATAAATTTTATTAGTAAACAGAAAGGATTCCTCATCCCATAGCCTGTAACATCTCAAATGACAGATTTATACAGCTGCAAAACCAAACACCTATCATTTTTATTTATCCTCAAGACTTCAGTTATATTTCTACAGACTATACATTTTGGAAAACATTCTTCTACTTCTGCAGCCATCTCTGTGCTGCTGTAAAATCCCCTTCCCTTAATATTAACCTCATGCTCATATTACTCCTAACAGATTTCATGTGTATTTCTACATTGGGGCCTCCAAATGATCTACAAAGCTGAAAGGTTTATATGCTAGCATCAGGGACAAAGTCACTTCACAACTCTATTCTGTCTCTGCATTAGACAGGAATGCTTTTATTTCTGCCTTAAAATGATAAAAATGTTTATAACATTTACAACTCTGATAATTTCGCTGAAAAGAAGCATTAAGATTTTCATTTACATGTCAGTTATAAGCTGGTGGCTTTTGTGCTTGGGATTTTTTTTTTATATTAAAATTAAAAGGGCATACATAGGTTTGCCCTTGAAAAGCTGTAAGCATTAATTTTTTTTTCTTTAGCATATAAAAGTAGCACACCTTTTTTTTCCCAGCTGTTCAATGCCATGTTATCACCACAGTAAACCATGCATAAATACCAATTTCTGTTTACCTACTGCAGTAGGAAAGCACAACACTTGTGAAATGGTTTTGCCTAACAAATTTCAGTTGTTAGGAAAATATAAAACTAAAGAAAAGTATTTACTCTCTGTAGTATTTTATCCTTTACCTTTAAAGCATGCAGGAAAAAGCTGCTTTTGGTAAGGTAAGGTACAGATGTTGTACGATCAAGCATATCTGTAAATGACTTTATGTTCTAAAGCTTCCTGTAAATAGAGTCTATACAAAGGAAATAAAACTGAGAAAAGAGCTCTCAGCCCAACTCTTAGGAAAAAAACTATCCTGGATAGAAAGGGTTAAAAATGCAGCTGCTCTGCAGTATATTTATGGGCACACAGCCCATTTCATTCCATCTCTCCTCTTTACTCCTGCTAAGATGCAGCTGAGATGACTTTCTAACCTTTAGCATCTCTTCGTGTATCCCATAATGCCCATAGGAGCTGAAGTAAACACCATCCTCATCCTCCTGAAGGTCTGCGATGGCGCTGGACGACGAGCTGCTCCTGACATCTGCCTTCAGCACAAAATCCTGGGCAAATTGTCTGTAATCAATTTGAAATATACCCTTGAGAGGTGTTGATGGGACATGAACAGGAGGTGGGGGGAGTGGGGGCGAAAGGGCTTGGAAGAGGGAAGGAATCCAGGAATCCAAGCTGCACAGGGGTTTGGCAACAATGGGAACAGCTTTAGGTGTGCACATCCTCCCTCTGCAGGCTCCTCTGGGCTGCTGCACCACTGCACTCCACCACCAGCCTGCAGTCCTTGTGCTCTGCTTACAGCCAGCAAATAGCAGCAGCAAAATATTGGGATTTAGTTTCTGGTTTTAAGGAGGAATTGTCTATTTTGCACTCACTGGTCCAAAAGCACCACAGTGCTCATGGTGTTTCAGGCTGTGTAATGCAGATACAGAGTCAACACAATGAAGAACACAAGAACTACAACCCACACATCACTGCATGGTGGAAGGTAGAACGAAGTATTTTAAAACTGAAGCATCTGGGTGGAAAAAAAGTTCTACAGATCAAAAGCAACAAAACCTGCATCCTAGACCACTCCAGAGTGTCAACACTCACCTTTAACAGTGGTCATACTTTCTTAAAATGGAACTTTTCAAACCATACTTTGGTCTTTCAATCCGTGCAGGTTTTGTGCAGTTTTTACTAACGTGGTACATTTACTAATCATCTACATGATACATGTCAAACCTACAGTCCCAACACAAGTCCTGAGGTTTATTCTACTTACATTCTGCTACTTTATATTTCTACTGGTCTTTAAACATGAACATCTCATCTTACCTAAAACACAACAAAATAAAAACACCCCAAACTTCAGTTCAAACACTTACTTCATCTTTTGAAGATCATCTTGTGCTCTAGCCAGGGCTGCTTCTGCAAGCCTTGCTCTGTGTTCTGCACGTTTTAACTGTTCAAGAAGCACCATGGTATCATTTAAACCATCAGAAGGCAAAATGTTTGCAGGTTCACAAAGATCTTCTATATCTGATGGAATGGGGATGAAGAAAAAACACCTACCAGTCATATGTTGCTTCACAGCAGGTCATAAATGTATGTTTTCAGTGTTGCTATTTCTATCTTTGGCTGATTTGTAAAAGCAGTTTTCTACAAGAAGCATTACTGGATTTGACAGGACTAACTGCACAACACAATACTATTCAGAAAAAGCAAATATGCTGGAATGAAGCTCTAAGTTAATAAAGCAAATAAATCCAGAATTCAGGCTTCTTAAAACACCAGGGTTTGATTATTTCTAGAAGAGACATTAGGTTTAGAGTATAATTAAGTTAAATACAGTCCTATCCTCTATTTTTGGAATTATGTTATTCTAAGGCCAAAAGGGCTGTTAATGGTAAAAGGAAAGAAGTTATAAAAATGCAAAATTTCTTAATAATTAGTCACTAACTCTGAATTTTCCAACCAATTCCTTGGGCTTTTACAAAGCTTATGAACACACAAAACTCAAAAGAGCATAAGCAAAGTGAACCTAGATGAAACACTGCTTTTCTACTTGTATGACTCGGACTCAGCACTAGGTCCCATGCACCTCTTGCTAAATTCAGCTGATTTCAACAGATGTCAGCGAAGAAAAAGAGAAGACTACTGTGGTTTTGGATCTAGTAGGAAGTTCCTGCCAGCTGACTGAGCAAAAGACTTCATTAAAAAAACATACATCTATTCCTTTTAATCATGGAAGACTATTTGACCTGTGGGACTGAAACCAAGCACTCCAGATCTCAGAGGTTCAGATGAACCCCATAACCTTTTAGCACCTGCAACTGGCACATCAAAGCATCTCAAAAGTCTACAGCTCAGACAAAGAGCACACATTTGGCAGGAGTTTATATAGGAAAATGTGAAATCCCTGAAGTAACCAACCAGTGTCCTCCAGAACACATTATCTCTGCTACCCTAGAACAGGGTTAGCTTAGAAAGGGGCAAAACTGCATCTCAGACTGTACAGAGAAGAAAAAAATCCACAAGCCCTAAGTATACCCTATGGTTTAGCTGAAAGAAGGATGTACATGTGCAAAATAGAGAGTGGGAGGATTATGGGCAGCAAAACCAATTTACGAGAGTGGGAGGATTATGGGCAGCAAAAACAACTTATCACATTTACCCCACAGTGCAGCACAGTCATACTGAAACACATTTATTTACCAAACTGAAGTAGGAGATCATCTTCTAGCTCTGGTTTCAAATACTCCTCTCCTTCCCAAGGCAGTGGGCTGCTGACAGAACTCAAATAAGCTCCTGTTGGTTTCTAGACCGGAGGAAAGCAGCATATAAGATAAGTTTCTTTGAAAACACCAGTCCTTCAATTTCATTCAAGAAAATAAGGCACACTAAAATATGCAGGGTATTATTGAAAGAGCTTTGTAGCAAAGGCTGAGAAAGCCCAGGCAGCCACAGGAGCAAGGAATTCAGTACAGACAGCAAAGCACAGCAGACTGACAGACAGTGAAGGATACTTGGAGGATTACACTGCAATCAGCAACCAGGTTTACTCAGGCTGTGTCAGACCTGTAGCTTACAACAGAGCTAATCAATAAATCCAAGAGACTAATCTTGTTAGGAGTTTTTACATGAACAGTGCTGTTGGGACAAAGGTCAGAAACACTGTATTCTCCTCTCTTTGCATTCAGACAGTTAATACCTTCTCAGGAAAGGACAGATCATTTTTTACATGAACAGTGCTGTTGGGACAAAGAAACACTGTAACTGTATTCTCCTCTCTTTGCATTCAGCCAGTTAATACCTTCTCAGGGAAGGACAGATCACATTCTGGACATCAGTTTTGCCCTTTCTGTGTTTACTCTGCATAGCTAGTTAGGCATTAAATAACTACTTGAGGATTTAAGATTTGAAGATTTAAGTAAAAAAATACTTAATTAGGTGAGATGGTATTAAGTTTAACCTAAACTTTTAGGGAGCAACAAAAAACATGCTTCAAAATACACAACATTACTCAGGCCTATCTTAAAGCTGTAGGTTCCCATTAGCTTTCCTGATTCTGGTATTATTTTAGCAGAGATTTAAGTTCTGTAATCTGAGAGACCATGTGTTGTCCTTACTAAATAGGGGTCTGGCCAGTTCACACCCTCAGCAAAGACTCCCTACACCAACACATATGCAAGGACTGAGAAACATCAGATACTGAGAGATGAACCTCTGAAATGAGACAGCAGAGTCCAAGGCCAAGACAACAAAACAAGACACATAGCATGGAGGCTTTTTGCAAGTCTGAACACCCTCTTCTGGAAACAATAAAACTCACATTAATTAATTTAAAATGGCAACAGCTTCAGATGTAAATAAACCAATGAACAGTTCTTTTAATTCCTATGATTTCTTGTTTCTAGATCTACATTACAGAATCACATGCAGTTATTAGAAAAGGGCAAACTGAAAGCACAACACCTTGACTTCCTATTCTGCAGACACAGATGACAGAAGTAGTATGTGGCACACCTACCTTTGATCTAACAAAGTTTATTAGCTTAATGTACCCATAAAAATCCAGTCCTGAAAGGAGGGGGAAAAAAATAGAAAAATAAAGTGCATTAGAAAAAAACACATACATTTTACATTTATATGAATACTAATTACTCATTCAATTGGCAAGCAAGTACATCAGGACAGCCACATTTATCTCCTACTAGCTATCCTGCTGATATTTTAGGCTGTTGTGCCCCTCTGTTCATATCTTTAGCTTTCTGCTCAACAGAATGTAAATTGATGCTACTCATCCAGAATACAAACAACACTGATTTAAAATTGCCACCTAGGCAGAAATCATAGTCGTTTAATACTCTCCCCAAGAACAGCAAAGACAAAATACTTTCCCTTGGATTTTAGACAGAAAACAGACCAGATCTTACAATTTCACACACAATTTTTATATGCTTCATGTAGTTCTCATTCTCTTATCTCACACTCCTTTTCAGTGAACACTCTTAAAACAGCATTTCAACACTGTTCCCCTTCCTCTGCTTTCCAGTTTTTCTCTATATGCAATATACGTATTTCATGCTCAGTAATTCAGCACTTAGGTAACTCTTTCAAAGTTCTCCCTACTTCACATACATCCTCCTATCTGTACCTTCCCTCAGCCACCAACTTGGCCTAATACATGACAGCTTTAAGTGAAACCCAACCTTAAGCTTCACTTGGAAAGTACTGCATGTGATAACCTGAGGGAACATAAGCCAGCTGCAAACAGCTCCTTAAAAGATACCAGCAGGACAGTCCAATTTCCTGCCCTCTTGGTGGATACATCACTGGTCTCTGCTAAGCTACTGAGTCCAACAACTGCATCACTAGTCAGGCAAGAGCTCCCAAGAGATCAGGTAAATGGTTTATTCCAGCATGTAGTGGGCTGGCTTAGGTTCATCAAGTAAGCAGAGAAGATTCAGCACATCAACACAAGCCAGCAGAGATCAATCTTACTCTTGTCACTAGTTGAGAACTTTACCAGCAGACAAAGCATATAGGAAGCAGGCAAAGATAACCTATTTTTCCCCAACAGCTTAACTTGTTCAGTCTTGGAAGGTTCACCTGCAACCAGGAAATCAGTTAGAAATGAACTAATATTTGCAAGTTATTTTTGATGAGATAGTCATACATAAAAGGAAATGACAAGTCATGAAAAAAACCTTACCATGTTTCTGGATCACATCACTAACATTAAACTGGTGGTCTGCTTTACAGTGGGAGAATACAACTTCAGCAGAAGTAAAGAACCTGTAAATAACAAATTATTAAATACACGGTATTAACACATTTACAAGTTCTAACTTATGAGTTCTATATGGTCTGTCCACACCTGAGAGCCATTATGTTCAGGACACAGTTTCTCCTTTTGAGAAAGGATGAACAGGCTCCTGCTTACTCACACACCTAGAGAAAAAGCATTTACCTTGTTTGCCAAATATTTTGAAACACAAGACAATAAACACAAATATTTTATTTGACAAAGCCACAAACCCTGTTAACTTTCAAAAACTCCTTGAGAGCAAAGGCTGTGTTCTACCTGAAATCTAAGCACCACACAGACACGAGGTGAGTGGGACAGCCAGGTCTGTTGCATTAAAATGAAAACTCTCATCTATTACTGGCAATGGGAAAAGATGACACGGAAAATATGTCAGAGGAGATTCAGACTGGATATTATAAACAGCTTTTTTCCCTGTTAGGGTGGTCTGGCATTGGAATAGACTGCCCAGGGAGGTGGTGGAATCACTGTCCCTGGAGGTGTTTAGAGGTGTCTGGATCTAGCACTGGAAGACATAGTTTCAGTGGTCATGGGGTTGCAATGGTAGAACTGGTGGGCAGCTGGACTTGATTTTAAAGGTCTTTTCCAACTTTGAGGATTCCATAAGAGACAAACCCCCACACTGCCTCAGGGGGAAGGCAGGGGATTACCTGCCTTCCACCTTACTCCCTCCTTCAGTTTGGATCTAACACACCTCTGGCTGCACAGAGCCCACGGTATGATCACAAGCTGCAGAGCACAGCTACCACCCTAGGAATGAAACACTTCCCTACCGTGGCTGCCTCCTGCTCACAACCCAGCCATGCCCAGCTCCCTCCCCACGGGGTCAGCGAGAACACAGGTGGGAGCACAGGTGAGAGCACAGCACAGCCAGAGAAAGGCAGAGCACTGTGAGAGTACAGTGAGAGCACAGGCAGAGCAGAGCACAGTGAGAACACAGGCAGAGCACAGGCAGAGCAGAGCGCAGTGAGAGCACAGGCAGAGCAGTGCACAGTGAGAACACAGTGAGAGCAGAGCACAGTGAGAACACAGTGAGAGCACAGGTAGAGCAGAGCACAGTAAGAACACAGTGAGAGCACAGGCAGAGCACAGGCAGAGCAGAGCACAGTGAGAACACAGGCAGAGCACAGGCAGAGCAGAGCGCAGTGAGTGAGGGCACAGGCAGAGCACAGGGAGAACACAGTACAGTGAGAGCACAGTGATGGCACAGGCAGAGCATAGGGAGAACACAGTACAGTGAGAGCACAGGCAAAGCAGAGCACAGTGAGAGCACAGGCAGAGCAGAGCACAGCCCAGTGAGAGCACACCGAGAGCACAGTCAGAGCACAGCCCAGTCCGAGCACACACCACGGCTCCCCGCGCACCCCACTACCTATCGCAGAAGAGGCAGCGTGTCTGCTGGTCCACGGCAGCGCTTTCCTCCTCCTCCTCCTCTTCCTCCCACCCCTCCTCGCCGTCGCTCAGCTCGCCCATGCCCTGCCCGGCAGTGCCCATGGCCCGCGGACCCACGTGCGCCGCTTCCGGGCTGAGCGCGGCCATGGCGGAACGAG